AGCAAAAATAATCTCTCCTCAGGCAGGAGGTTTCAGCACATCTGTTTGTGCACGCATTACAGAAAAACACATGGGGATTAGTCAGGTCCAACAAAATCAGGGTGACTTGGCACTGCAGGCTTATGTGCCGGACACCCTCCAGCCACCCAGCACAGCTCTCCCAAACCACAGGGACACTGGTTACCCTCAGCTCTGGATCTGAGAGCTTAGAGACCACTCCAGGGGATATGTTTCACCCAGAGACGGCTGCAGCCTCAGCTTCTCTCACCCTTTCCTGGACTCCCCATGTTGACTACAAGTCCCCAGCCTCAGGCACCCTTTGCTCCTTAAGGCAAGCAGATACATTTCTTTAAACAAAACCAGGGAAGAAAAATGCTGTGTGAGCAGAGATTTACATAACAAAGAAGTATCCTGCTTCACCTAAATGTAAATACATCTCTCTGTACGTGGCTGGAGTCAGAGCACAAGGCCCAGTGAAACACCCAGGTTCGAAGCTCACTTGCCAGCCCCCAGCACCTTCTTGCCACACAGTGAACCCAGAGTCACTCTGCCCTAGCTCCCACAAACAGAACCCACAGCACTAACCCCCAGCCCAGGCCCCCATCCTGCTGTTTGTCTCCTGTGCTCGTTATTTGCACCTACAGCCCCCTCCTCAGCCCTGGGCTCAAGTGGAGGAAAACCCTGGGCTAACTCTCACCGGGACTGGGTTTGGTTTGTCGAGGGCACCGTGGACTCTGGTCTCCCAGATGTACTGACCTACTTCTCTTCCATGCAATTTGGCATAGCCAGTGGCTCTCAGCTACTGCCTCTGCAGAGATCTGCGCCTGCCCACGTGAATACATTGCTGGGGCTTTCAAAAGAAGTTGTCTGACAGCAAGAAGTGATTTCAGTTTTGAGTTTGCAGACACAAACTATCACTACCTCCTGCAACCAGACAGCAGCTTGCATAAGCCCCACTTCGCTGAAAACAGACTAAAAAATAAAAATTACCTAAATTTACATAGCTGGGGTTGTTTTATAGAAATTGCTTCTGTCTTTCTTCTCCACTTTTTGCCCTTGATAAGACCTTTTGGCAGAGAGTTTCGCACGTTAATTATGCCTTGTGTCAAAATATTTCTCTCTAGTGCACTGTTTTTCTCCTTAAATGATTTTAACCATGTAAATGTTCCTGTCTCTGTCTGAAAGGGTAGATAATTAATATTGAATGTTTATTTTTAAGCTCCCTTCATACTTGCCCTGCTCTTTTCCATCTTCCATCTCCAAGTTGCTAAATGCTTTCATCACCTGGCTCAAAGTCCTCCGTGTCGTCTCTATCCATCTCTGAGTCAAATGATCAGGGCTGAATGTGGCATTCGGAGATCATCCTGCTGGTTTCTACAGCAACATTGTGGCATTTGGGTAATTAGTTTCTGTCCCATCCTTCACGCACTCCAATATTCTGCTTAATCTTTGGATTTGCAGGACCAAGGACCAACTCTAGAAAATAAGGAGATGTTAAGTCTCATTTTCTAAAGAAAATGGCATTTAGTGAACCTGAATGTCATTGAAGAGGAATGGAACAGAGACTTCCAAGTCACATGGGCCAAATACTCAGGACCCAAATATCTTTAAAATCTGGCCATAAACTCAAAAACATTACCACAGGCCTTTTTCTTTCCAAAGTAGTTGTTCATTTGACCTTAGAAACAGAAATTAGTGTTTCAAATGACTCCTGAGTGAATGTCATCTGCTAGCATGTTGTTCCATCAACTACTTGTATAATCCCAGTCTTATCCATCCCTGATTAATGTAAATCATCTTGTATTTTGCAGACATAATCCTCTGACTGAAATCCCTTCTCCAAATCCTCAGGCATTGCACAAGGGACAACATACAGTACATCACGCAATATTGGCCCTGATGCACACCAACACTAAACTAACAGCTTCCTTTCATAAATTCACAGATATTCGCAATGAAGGAAATGCAGTAGATCTCACTTGCCTGGGCTTCAGTAAGACATTTGAAATGGTGCCACACAGTAAATTATTAGCTAAGACAAAGAAGATGTGACTGGCATATGAAATGTAAAGTGGGTAAAGAACTGCCTGAAAGTGGCATGGTAATTGCTTCAGCAAAAAGGGGATGTGTTAGACTGAAGACGGTTTACCAGTACAGTTCCTTGTGTTTCTGCCTCAGAAATTATTCTACTTAACATTTACATTAATGATCTTGGCAAAAAACCAGGAGAATGCAAAGGGAAATTTGCTGATGAGGCAAAATGACATGCTATCATCAATCTAGAAGAGGCCAGGATATCACACAAAAAGCTTATAATGACCTTGAGGACTGCAGCAATGGAGAAGGGATTTGATAGAACAGTATAGACTGTACAATCAGGCTGTTGAGGACAAGTATAACAATACAATAGCAGACGTTCCAGCTTGTGAGGCTGTCAGCTGAAAATATCTGGGGCAGGGAAAGACCCATGCTACAAACCACAAAACTGTGACAAGACCCTCGTGGTATACAACATGAGAAGAGTTAAATGAAAAGAACTTGGGTTGAAGGGTAGGAAAATGAGGAATTGATCTGTGTGAATGTATCAGAGTCAACAACAGGGTAGAAAAGAGATAGAGTGGACACTGCTGGTGTAAGGTTATATGGCCAGGAAATGTCTGGGAATACAAATAGATGGGTGGTTAGACTGGCACATGAAAGTAGTGAGTTTCTCATGTATGTTTCTGACCCAGCTCCAGGGCAGATAAGAAACAACCATCACTCAGAGGGATATCAGTCCTACCACACAACCAGCATGCTCGAGAAGCCAGACAGATTAGAGGTGTGATCTTCTTTCTCAGTGAAACACCCAGGCCTATTCACAGAGGAATTTGAGAGTCCTATTTTAAAAGGTGTCACTAACCACGATGTTGTTTTGGAATCAAACGTTCTACAAGGCTGTACAAACGCCATCAGCCCGGGCAGGTGGCAACTGCCTGCTCTCCTATTCCCAGCACAAATGCCAGATTCACTTGTCCCCTCCAGGACTGGAGGTGGGTTCAGCGGTTGTGGGGTTCTGGTATGAGATTAGCTGCTCCACTCTGAAACCCCTCTGGCCTGCTCAGCTCACCCATTCAGTCAAGAATCACTGGATACTACCACTTCTTACCAATTTCCTCCAGAGCAGCCTTTTTGGACGCTGCCACCTCTAACAGCTCCTCTTTCTCTGCCCTGAAGGAGCAGGGCTGAGGCAGAGGCTCTCACTCTGCAGACACCCCCACCTCCTAAGCTGACTGCTTGCTGCTTCTGCTCCCCAGGAGTGAAATTTGTTTTGCAGTTGCAACCTTTTACACTTCACATTCCCTGGTTTTACCCATCCCAGATCGCTGCCCTTGCCGCCACATCTCCAGGAACACGGTCACCGTCACTGCAGAACCTAAGCACATCAAATCTCTGTTGGGATCATCAGGGTTTCTATTTCTCTCTTTTCATTTTCCTCAGCACGACTGGCTCTGAACACCTCCTGCGAGTCCCTCAGAGCTTCCTGCGCTGGCTCTCTGCTGAGTCAAAAGATTTTTATAATGTTATTTCGAATTTTCAGGCTTTTTTTATTGACTTCGTCTTTCTTTGGAATTTCCCTTTTGAATTTACTGGCACAAGACGATATCTGGGGTCAGTTTGTATCCCTTTCCCCTCGCTCCTTTCAACCACAGGACATCGGACTGAATCATGCTGGAGGCAGGATTATTTAAGGGTCCCACCAGGTGTCTCACTTCTGTCCCCCTCGAGCCTGTCAGACCCAGCATCCCCCCCCTCCCATGGCTCAGCCAGCAAGATGTCTCTTTGGCCCGTCTCTTCCAATTTCAGCTCAAGGGGACTGCTTTTTCCTTCTGTGAACTGCCCAGTGAGGGCATAGATGTTTATGGCCCAGAAGGTAACAAGCTGTCACTGCTCCCCCTGCTCTGCTCCCGGTGGGATGGGAAGGAGAATGGGAAGAAAAAGGTAAAACCCCATGGGTTGAGACAGGAACAGATGAATGGGACAACACAAGGAGAGAAGAAACAATATTAGGAATGCTAAGAAAAGAATAGGTACGGTGAGTGAGGCACAATACAATTGCCCACCACCCAGATCCTTCCTCCCCCGGCCAGCTCATCCAGTTTATATACTGAGCGTGATGTCCTATGGTATTGACACCCCGACACCCACCTGCCGCCCCAGCCCCTGTCCCACAAACCTGCATCTCCTCACTAAGCAAAGTTGGAACTGGGCGTGTGGGTTTGCTGATGTGCCTGAGCACCGCAGGGCTGAGCCTCCGCGGTGGCCCCGACCCTCGTGTTGGCACTGCGGGTGCCGCCGGCCCGTTACCCCAAGAGGAGCCGGCTCTGGCAGCCCCAGGGGAGACGCTGGTGTCACGGCGTGCTGTGGCGTACTGAGGCACGGACTCAAATCACGGGTGATGCTGAGACGCTCGACCAGCACGCTGGCTTGTATACCTTTCGTGCGTTACGGTACTTTCCCACCAAGTTACAGCACTTTCCTACCAGCTGAACACCAGCAGGTGTTCCGCGCTAATCTGGCAGTACGACTGGCAGTCTTCTTGCTTCCTTCTCTCCCAGCAGCAGCCGAAGCTTGTGAGCATTTTTCTCGTAACGAAGCCCATGTTAAAACCAAGGCACAGCACTCTTCTAACTACCAGGAAGAAACATTGACTCTACTTTCGCAGGGTCGACTTGGCCGAGGCCTCCGAGTACTTGTGTTCAGGCTGAGGCCTGCTCCAAGGCCTAGCACGCACTTCCATTTTGTGTCCCCCGACAGCGTGGGGCCGTGCTGGGCGGCAGTGGAGGTTAACACGGGCTGGGGAGGGGGAAGCACCGTGGGAGCTGCTGTGGGGCCCAGGCCGCCCTGGCCAGGGAGGGGAGGAGCGGGGAACCCAGGGCATGGGGAGGGCAACTGGGTCCCCGGGGGACCCTTCTCCTGCGTCAGGGCTCCAGCCGGGACTGCAGAGACACCCAAAGGAGTTGATAGCACAAACAGTTTATTTAGGCATCAAGACTTCTGACACTCCATTTACAGACACATTTATATAGTTTAAATTAGTTTAGTTTAAATTATTTTGATATAGTTTAAATTATTTTTGTACTTTCCTTTTTCTTAGTAAAAAATATTTAATTTAACTTAAATAAGTTAAATAGAATACATTTTCCTGCTGAAGAAGGTTGCAGCTGAAGTCCTGTCTTGTGTGCCCGGGGCTGGGCGCCAGGCTCGCCAGGGGAAGCAGCGGGGCCATCGTGGTTGGCCACGGGGAACGGTCAGTTATTCTGAGGCTGGAAGTGCTTGAGATGTGCCTTCACCCAGGGCGCCTGGGGGTCTGCGCACAGCTCCTTCTTCTTCTTGGTGACCAGGCTGCCAGGAGAAAACCCATGTTCGTGCGCTCGGCCAGGGCAGCAGGGTGCCTATGCTGGGTCCTGCCTGCAGCACCCTTGGGTATCTGTGTCCCCGTCCCCCTCCCAGCCACCCTTGGGACATAGCCCTTGCCGTTGCAGCCCGCGCCCCCAGCAGCAGTGGGTACTTACATCACCCCTGGCTGGGTGCAGCTGCTGCTGGTGGTGTAGATGGATGCGATGAGAGCCCGCAGGACAGGGACCCTGGTGGCTGTGGGCAGGGCTGACTGACCGTACGTATGCACCGATGGCATCTGTTGAGTGTTGGGAAGTCTTTTTTGAGGGCCCTGGACTAGTCAGCCTCAGGTGAAGTGTCGGGATGCTGGGTGCTGCGCAAGGTTCCCTGCACTGGAGGGGCTGGAGTCTGGTCCGGTGTCAAGGGAGGGAGATGATGAGCACCTTGTGCAAGCCCACCTCACTCTTCCTCCCTCCTTCTCTCCCCGGATCACAGCCCTGTCCATGTCCCCACGTCCTGCGTGGCTGTGGTGGCAGGTGACACTGGGGACTCTGTCGCCCCGCTGCACCCCTCTCCAGCGTCCATGCCTCTGCAGTCGCTGCAGTCCCAGGAGACGGCATCATCTTCCCCCAGGGCAGAGCAGAGCTGGTGGGTCCCTTGTGAGGCACAGGATGTGCAGAGTAGAAGTCTCCAGGGCCTGGGGGAGCAACAGGACCCACTGTCACCAAAGGCCCCCGAGCTGTGTGTGGGGTGCCAGCCCCGGCGCTGTGCTGAGCCCACGTCCACCCTGCTCCCGCCGGCAGCCGGGGCTGAGCTGCTGGCACTCACCCTGCCGTGCCGTGCCCATATCCCAGGGAGGCTCCATCCCTGCCCAGAGGAGGAGACGAAGGCATCGCCATCTCCTCGCTGGGGCTGCGGGGACCGCAGCCACCGGCACTCACCCATTCACCTCCACATGCTCACGTCCCTCTGGGCACAGGCACTGGTTGGCATCGCAGGAGCTGTGCCGCAAGTAATGGCCTGCAAATGCCCCATCCTCCTCCTCCCAGGCAGCATCCCTGCAGGAGCGGGGGAGCGCTCACCCTGGGGCCGTGGGGGACACCCCGGCACACCCGCAGGCAGGAGGGCTCAGCTGGAGCATCGCGGAGGGGGAGGCGGCAGCGGGAGGGAGGGCACTGACCTGTCAGGGATCCGGATGCCCAGGCGAAACATCTCTTCCAGGAATTGCTCCCTGTTGCGGCACAGCGGGCAGCAAAAGTGGTGAAAGCCGGAGCGCAGTGCCTGTCCCTGGGGCAGAGATGGCATCAGCATCAGCGCCGGGGGTCCGGTTCACCGCCCTGGAGCTGGGCGATGCGACAACAGGGTGACAGCAGGGGGGACCGCTCCAGGGGCCGGGGGCGATGCCACCTACCTGGATGCAGCCGCGGTGGAACCAGGCGCTGGCGCAGGCGGGACACACCAGGGTGTCGTAGCAGGGCCGCTCCGCCACCCCCTCCTGGCAGATGAGGCAGAGGGTCTGGTCCTGCTGCACCGCCCGCACCCGCTGCACCGGCCGGTGCTTCCAGCAAAAAGACCTGCAGGACGGAGGGGACAGCTTGGCCCCGGGCCCGGGCCCCGGCACCGACCCCGGCACCGACCCCGGCCCCGGCCCCAACCCCGGCCCCGGCCCCGGCACCAGCCCCGGCCCCGACCCCGCGGGGCAGCCATACTCACCTGAACTCCCCGAAGAACTGGGAGACGCAGCCCCGCTTGCTGCCGCAGGGGAAGTGGAAGATGCGGCGGCAGCGCCGGCCCCGGCAGCGCCGGGCCCGGCAGGTGACCGAGGCGCCCGGCAGCTGGCAGATGTGGCACCTCTGGGGACGGCAGGAAGGACAACGGTGTCAGCGCCACAGGCCCCAGGGAGCCCCGCCGCGTTCTGTGGGGCCGCCCGGCTGGTGACACCGGGCCCCGATAGATAAGGATGCCCCCCGTACCCTCCAGATCCCCCCCTGCCGCAGGAACGGGCCTTTTTGCGTCATGGGGGATCTGACTTGGGGGTTGCTTGCAGCCGGCTGCCAGAGCAGCGCTGGGGGCTGGGTGGGTGGCTGCTGGCGTGTGCAGTGCCAGGCACGGGGCGTGGGGACACGGTGGGGACACATGGGGACAAGGCCTCACTTTCTGTGCCACCCGCTTCAGCTCCTGGCGGATATCGGGGAAGAGGAAGCCGTAGAAACCCTCTTCGTTGGCCCCTCTCTGCATCAGCCCGCTGGCGTGGTACTGCAAGGGGGTTTTGAAAAGAGGGTGAGTGCCAGGGGCTGCCGGCGGTGCGGGGCTGGGGACCGGAGGGTGTCGGGGACTGGGGGGGTGTCGAGCCCCAGGGACTCACCAGGCAGTTCTCGTGGACGCAGAGCCCACCCTTTTGGCACAGCTGGCCAACCATGTCGGCATCACAGTTGTCCTGCCGGCACAGCCCGCACACTGCCGGGGGACAGAGGCACCGTCACCCCAGCAGCACGCCGCGGAGCGGTGGGGGTAATGCTGGGAGCGGGGATGGGGGAGAGGCCGGAGCACCCTGGGACGCTGCGGGGGCCTGTGGCAGCACAGCCGGGCACCGGCCAAAATCCCCTCTGGCCGGTGCCCGGGGGGAAGCTCTGCACTCACCTCTCTCCTTGGAGACGGGACATCTCCTTTTGCGCTTGGGAGGAGCACAGGAGGATCTTGCCTGCTCCTCCGGCAGCGCTGGGGGACACTGCTCTGTTGGGCATTCTGACATCCTGCGGCGCCGCGACCTCAGCTCCATGGCCGCAAGTGGCTGCCACGAAGCAGCTGGCTGGGCCTGGGGACCTCGCTCTGGTCGGAGACCGTCCTTGTCCTCCAGTGCCCGTGGCAAACACACCACGGAGCCGGGGGCAGTGGCGTGGGGGTATCTATACAGGCCAGGGTGTTTGTGACACGGCACCGCGTGCGTGCCCGGTCACAAACACGGTCCATCCAGCACGTGCGCAGCCGGGTCACAGATGTTGCCGTGGATGCTGCTGCTCCGGCCTCCCCGTGCTCACTGGAAACATGCCCCAAAGCATTTGTGTTTTCAATTTCTTCTTCTCTTTAAGGAAGGGATTGACTCAAGTGACAGGCCTGGTATGGTCCAATTTCCTTAAGGTGATTGCCATCCCCATTGCTGCTGCGGTGGGTGGGTGGGCTTTAGGGACTGCGGGAGGGTTTTCCCCGTGAGACAGGGTGATTCCTGGGGACCTGGAGCTCCCCAGTGCGAGCAGGCTCACCCCCATGGGTGCTCATCTGCAGGGTCTGGCCGGGCCTGGACAGCGCTAAACCTCCAAGCATCTCTCCTCCTGCAGCCGCCCCTCTTTAGCCCCTGGATCCATCTGGGGAAAAAACCATAGCAACCCCCCCATACCCTCCCCAAACCCTCCAAAGCCAACCCTTTCTCCTGTTGCCAGCCTGCGCCTGCCTTTCTGCCTGCCTCAATCCGTATCCCAGTGGGCGGGCAGCTGCTCAGGGCATCCTTAAACCCCACAACCAGGACAGGGCTGCTGCTTCATGGGGGGGAGCTGAGCTGGGGGCATCAGCCTCAGCCCTTCGGGTTTCCCTGCCGTCTCAGGAGCTCCTGGTTATCCTGGGCCCCTGTGGGGACACCAAGCCCTGACGTGACCCTGCTTTTCTCCCACGGGATTTACTTCCTCTCACTCCAGCTGCAGGCCAGAACAGGATAGTTTTGAAACCCATCGACGGTTCTGCGGTAGTGTGGAGAGGGTGACCCAGCATCGCCCCCCTCCCATGGCTCAGCCAGCAAGATGTCTCTTTGGCCCGTCTCTTCCAATTTCAGCTCAAGGGGACTGCTTTTTCCTTCTGTGAACTGCCCAGTAAGAGCATAGATACTTTTGGCCCAGCACATAACAAGCTGGCACATCTTGCTTTGCTTTTAGGACCAAGCCTGGAGTCATGACAACCACTGGCCCTTTACTGTCCTTTTCAGAGAAGGCTCCTTCCTGCGGGCTCCTCAGCCTAATCCTGCTGGGTGTAATTCTGCATGAAGAAGCCTTCTCCTCCCAGGAGAGCTATCGCTTCTGATTCCAAGTGCTCTCTGGTGTGAAAACTACTTTTTACCCCAGGCTCAATGCCTCAGAGCAGTCCCAGGGGTTGGCTCCCCTGTGTGCCCAGAGCCCCTCCAAACAGCCGATGCTTCTACCTCTGAAAATGCCTTGGAGGAAGATGGAAAGGAGTCCAAAGAGTGCAGAGAACTGGAAATAACACCACATAGCTGAGTCTTGCATCTGGGCCTGTCTTTTGTCCATAGACCCGTGGGAAAACTGTTTGAGCTGTGATTTTTGACACCAAGGACTCATCACAGCTGTCCCCATGCCAGGACTGTGTCTCCACCATACTCCCCATCACAAGTGCAGCAGGCTGGGACCTACTGTGGTTTAAGCCCAGCCTGCAACTAAACACCAGCGCCTGCTCACTCCTCCCCTGGCCTCCGGTGGGATGGGGAAGAATTGGAAGAAAAAGGTAAAACCCCATGGGTTGAGACAGAAACAGTTTAATGGGACAAGACAAGGAGAGAAGAAACAATATTAACAACAATACTAATAAAAGAATAAGTGAAGCAAGTGACGCACTATACAGTTGCCCACCACCCAGATCCTTCCTCTGCCCGGCCAGCTCAGCCGGTTTATATACTGAGCATGACGTCATATGGTATTGAATATCCCCTTGGCTAGTTCGGGTCAGCTGTGGACAATCTGCCGTTTAATTTGTTCAAAGGCTTGTCATTGTTCAGGGCCCCATTTGAAACAACTTTTCTTCCAGGTCACTTGACAGAGAGGGCTTGCAATCAGACTGTAATTTGGAATATGCCTTCTCCAGAAACCCACAGCACCTAAGCAAGCTTGTGTTTCCATTTTGGCTAGTCAGTGGAGACATAGATCCTATCTTGTTGATCACATCCACCGGGATCCAGTAATGCCCAGCTTGTAATTTTATTCCTAAAAACTGAATGTTCTGTGCAGGTCCCTTGACTTTGCTTTCTGGTGAAACTGGCACTCAGAAGGATTTGGATTATTCTCTCCCCTTTCTCAAAGAATACTTCTGTCATGTTGCCCCACAGGATGAATACGCGTTCTGAATACAGGTCAGAAGTTCTCACGGGATCAGGAGTAAAGTCAACCCTTCTACTCCGTTTGGACAAGTGATTACTGGAAACTGGAGGGGAAATTCTCCTGAAAGAACTCTGATTAGTAGTTGGTTTTCCCCGCAACTCATGTACCCACTCTTCTAGGTGGAAGGTAGACTTTCCACCCTGTTTTCTCATGTCTTCTCCATGGTCACGCAGGCAATACCACAGCTTCCCCCGTGGTGTATGCCATCTCTCCTGAGCAGTGGAATGCTTGCTTCTAATAGCTGAGATATTGGTCTGTACAGGTGGGGGCAGAACTTGTCCTCGAATCTCTGGAAGTCTTGGGACAGTTTCTCCATATGTTTCTCCAGGATATCTGGTAGTTTCTCCACAGATGAGATGCAGGCCAGCGGGGAGGAAGAGAGACTCTCTTCAAATTGTTGGAGTTGGGTAGCCACTTCGTGCATGGTTGGTGCCTTATTGTCTCTACCTAAATCATGCACTGCCAGTGAGTTTGCATACGGTGATGGTGTGCTCCATACAACCTTCTGCCACAGGGGTCATCCACACTGGACATCATCTGGGTCTTCAGGTAACTGCATGTTAGTTGCGTCATAACATAGCTCCTCCTGCACAGCCAGTCCCCTTGGGTCCTGGATACCTCTCTCTATATGACCCAGTTGTCTGGATTACATACAACCTCTTCCTCGTACGGATACCTTTCCCTCACACCTGACAAAAGCCGCCTCCACAGGCTGTGGGTTAGGTTAGTGCCTCTTTCCAATCACTTTATCACCACCTCCTTCCTCAGCAAGGGACCCAAGCTGCTGGGCTTTTTTTGCCTCTAAATCCAAGCTACTGGCCCCGTTATCCCTGCAACTGGGCAGCCAGGTGACAGTGTGCTTGCCTTGATAATGGCTGAAATCTTTTCATCTATCCTGCAGCTCACTCAGGAATAGAGATCAGGTGGAGGAAGTTGCCATCTCTTTTTCTCCTTCCCCCTCCTCCTTCTCCCTAGGAGGAATGTCTTCATCCCTTTCTAAACGTGATGACCTTCATGTCCATTTCTTCTTCTGTATGGGTGCGACTGACACTGGCGTGGGTTGGGCCTTCAGTTCAGCTGCAGTGCCTGTCACTGGGGTTGGAGTGGCTGCAGTGTCTGTCATTTTGTTATCAGGTTCAGAGACCTTCTCTTCCCCTTCAGGTACTGAATAGTGTTGAGCAGGGCTCTGTAGGCATGGGCCAGGCCCCAGCGCGTTGCTGAGACCTGAGTCTCTCTGGAATTACCATGGCGACAGAGTACTTTTCCCAAATATTTTACCAGTTTTTCGGGATTCTGCACTTGTTCAGGGGTGAAGTTCCAAAACACTGGAGGTGCCCACTGTCCTAGGTACTTGCCCGTGCTATCCCACACCTTTTGCTACTCATAACTCTCCAGCCTTGGGGTAGATGTCTGGGTGATGCTCTTAAATAGTTGCTTACCCCTGAACAAAACCTGAACCACATGCAGGGACACGCTGGCTCCTCGCAGTAAGACGTCCACGTTAGTGTCAACATTCCAAGGCTATCCTACATTTTCGAAATTCTCAAACGCTATTGTAAGTAGCCTGAAGAAGAGGAAGGTGCAGGGAGGTGTTTCCCCATGGATTGGGTCTCCGAGGGGAAAAAGTAAAGGGTGTAATTGTTAACCCTTTCCGCTAGATGGCCCCCGAAGTACAGAGGTTACGACAATGCTGAGTACAGATCTCGAACTAGTCTCAGGATCGATAACTTTATGGTGGCATAAACGAGTGGTACATAGTACAGCAAAGGGAAAATCTTAATCCACCTCCCATGGGTGATAAACAGCAGCATAGGGACTATATACAGCAAGTGAGGTGATGCATAGCACAACTCTAAGAATGAGAGCACCATAACTCTAGGAGCCAATAAACTGACATTATGACCAGCAACTGTTAAACCAGTATAATGAATGCTTATAATAAATTCGTTGTAATACATTATGGCCAGATCTGTCGTCATCTCAACCCTTCATGCCCCACGTTGGGAGCCAAAAAGTACTGTTGTGGTTTAAATCCATCCAGCAGCCAAACACCACACAGCCGCTTACTCACCCTTCCTCTGACCTGGAGATGGGGGAGACAATTGGAGGTGTAAAGGGAGACTCGTAGGTTGAGATAAAAACACTTTAATAATTGAAATAAAATACTACTACTACTAAAAATAATAGAATACAGGTAAATAACGCACAATAGGATTGCTTACCACCTGCTGACCAATGCCCATCCCAGTCCCAGATAGCAATCCCAGAGAAGTGAAGATCCCAAAACTGCAATCACAGAAGTGAAAGAGCAAACTTCCCAGCCAACCCTCATCTATACACTGAGCATGACACTGTATGATATGGAATATTCTAATGCCCAATTGTGTCCAGTGTACTGGCTTGTCGGAGAAGGGAGACACTGACACCAGATGGTTCATCAGCAAGTCTCGTTTATTGTCCGCTATCAACGTGGTTAAATACAATGGTTAATAAGCTCATACATATTGCAAAATTATAGCTCATCATTGGCCAGTTAGCTAGTTACGTCTTTGTTATGCACTTCTTCATTCCTGTGGTTAAACATCAACTTTTAGTTCCTTATCAGCATCCTGTACCGTAACACAATGTTTCTCAGACCACCGTTATCATAACACTGGGTTTCTCAGACCACTATTCCTAATTCCCCTTAACCTGTTTTCGACACACCACGGTACACAGGGCTGAAGCGTCCTTGACATTCCTCCTGTATCAGCAGCTGCGAGCAGCTGCAGGCAAACCCTAGTGAGGCTCAGCATCAGCAGCTAGAGCAGGCTCTGATCATACAATTGCTCGGTGGGCTCAGGACCCTTGTCTCTGAGCCATTCTCCAACAATTCCCCCTTTTTCTTTTTGTATGAGTAGAGCCTGCGCCAACGTTCATTCAAAGATTTTCTTAATACATGACAAGGCACAACTTAAACATGCAGGCTTACAATCTACTGGCTAAAGGCACTTATCACACACCCGGAAGTGCTGTGATAGGTCTGCATCATTAGTACGCGTGAACAAACTAAATCTACTTTATGGTTAGTGCATCCAGGCATTCAAACAGGGAGGAAGCACTAGATTGACTTCCTCCTTCTTGCCCTTCCAGGTGACCTCAAGGGCAGGATTACCACGTGGCAGTTTTCTGATCAGAGACCCAGCCTGGATTGTCCAAACCCTGTAGGATCAGTGCATGACCCTGATCCCCCCCAAAAAATTCCAGGTTTTGTAGATTTGCAACCATCATCAATCCATTTTCCAAATTCCCAAGTCTCGTAACCAGTCTGTCAGTCCATGTTCCAATCTTATGCAGTCTTATGTAGCAAGAAAACCATCCTTACAGTTTTAAAAGTGTCAGCAATTGTAACAATAGAGTATGCAATACAGAATGTAATACAGGTTTCACCATGCTATGTTCTAAACATTGCAATGAACCCACAACATACAATGAACCTGATACTACATGAACAAGTTTTTGATACCACTGTTGATGTTGAAACACCATACAATGACAGTTCAGAATTGTAAAGTTCGTAAGGAGTCTCCAGACCCCCGAGGAGAATCTTGTGATCTTGAGTTCCCAGGTGTCCCCCATTCGTTGTCACTACCGGGCAGGCCAACGCTCCAGCAGCATGCCAGTCCCCTTCTAACAAGGCATCACGAATCACCGCACTCCATCGGGACTGAGCTAAAAGCAGAGCTGGTTCTGATAAAGGTGACAGGAGTGGGTGTGGCGGGGCTGCCGGCAGCGCTTCCTTTTCTTGTAATTGTAAATGCAGAGTTCTGTTCTGTAGCTCAACTTCTGTAATTTTCTTTCAAGCTCTTGGACTCTGTCACTGTCCCTTACCGATGTGTGACCCTGTTGCTTTAATTCGGACAGAGCCGCCGCTTTTCTCTCCGACTCAGACGCTGACGCGCTGTCAGGGGCGGAACCATCCGAAAGGGGGGGGGGGGGGGGGGGGGCAGAGTTTATGGTGGCACGCCGCTCCACCCGGTACCCCCGCGCCGCCTGATTTCTCTGCGGCTTCTTGCGCGGTGGAGCAAACAGCCAAGTTCTTCTCAACCTTATGGCGCTTAATGTTATTGATTATCTCCCTCCAAGGTTTCATTAATTTCTTAGCAAGTTTATCCTCATCTATTACCATATCCCATAGTATATCTCCGTATCTCCTCCACTCCTCTTCATCAAACAACAGATCAGAGTCCTTAAAGCACCCCTTTTGTTTTGCCTGTTGCCACTAGACCAGCTAGCTGTTTAATGCAACTACTATCTGTCCCACGCTTTTCTAAAAAGCTCTGTAATAAATCTAGGGCTACTTCAAAATCCATGTACCTTAATACCTGTTATAATATCCTTGCAGCCCTCAGCTTGTAGCCCTTGCAGTGGTGAACTTCAATCGGTTCAGGCCGGAGACGACACACCAAGATGCGATAGACTCAGTGTTCGGTCGCTCTTTGCCCGCCGGTCGCTGCCCCCGGCACACTGCTCCTTTTCCTTCAGCCAGGTCCTTCTTTCTAAGTGGGATATAAATAAATCATATGCTGCTTGCCTGTCCATTATGTCGTCAGCGCTGTTGCAACTCTCCGGCTTCGGCAGCACGTATGGCTCGGGACTACCGTTGTAGCTCCTGAGGGTGTCGTCCCTACGTCGTTTGACACCGACCCGGTTGCATCGGGCCCCAACACTACTTCACCGACCGTGGTGCGTGAGTCCCTGTTTTCTGTTTTCTTCGCAGCGACAGGATCACGTCGGGGTCACCATTTGTCGGAGAAGGGAGACACTGACACCAGATGGTTCATCAGCAAGTCTCGTTTATTGTCCGCTATCAACGTGGTTAAATACAATGGTTAATAAGCTCATACATATTGCAAAATTATAGCTCATCATTGGCCAGTTAGCTAGTTACGTCTTTGTTATGCACTTCTTCATTCCTGTGGTTAAACATCAACTTTTAGTTCCTTATCAGCATCCTGTACCGTAACACAATGTTTCTCAGACCACCGTTATCATAACACTGGGTTTCTCAGACCACTATTCCTAATTCCCCTTAACCTGTTTTCGACACACCACGGTACACAGGGCTGAAGCGTCCTTGACATTCCTCCTGTATCAGCAGCTGCGAGCAGCTGCAGGCAAACCCTAGTGAGGCTCAGCATCAGCAGCTAGAGCAGGCTCTGATCATACAATTGCTCGGTGGGCTCAGGACCCTTGTCTCTGAGCCATTCTCCAACACTGGCTGTGTTCCTTCCCAGCTTTGTGTGCACCTGCACGTGGGGAGGACACAGGGAGGTGGAGTCCCTGATTTCTTAGCAACAGCTAAAACCATCAGTGTATTATCAAAATTCTTTTCATAACAAATCCCATGCTGAATCCAAAACAGAGCACTATTATAGCTACTAAGAAGAAAAAATAATTCCATCCCAGCCAAAACCAGGATACCACCCCTGGGACAGTCAGTTCCAGGTGTACTGGACCCCCCTCCAAGTGAAAGCAAACTGCGGCCTGCACTCTGCTGCCAAAGGGACTGAGAAAAATCCATTAGTGTTATCAACTGTGGCGTTAGCTCTTGGCTGCCTTTGACTCCAGTTCATATTGAAGCTCTAGCATGTCTGGCACGGCAGCACTCAGCGGCGGTGTGACTTCATTCAGGCCATGACAGTCTACTCTTCGTCTCCACTCTCCATTCAACTTTCGCACTGGCCATATGGGAGTATTAAAGGGTGAGTGAGCTTTGCTGATCACCCCTTGGCCCCTCCAGTCAATGAATCAGCTTATGGATGGGAGTCAGGGAGTCTCGGTTGATGTGATATTGCCGCCAGTGCACTGTTGTGGTAACGATTGGCACCTGCTGTTCTTCGACCCTCAGCAACCCCACAACCGAAGGGTGCTCCGAGAGACGAGGCAAGGTGGACAACTGTTCAATTTCCTCTGTCTCCAAGCAGCTGTAGCGAAAGCCCACTGGTACCCCTTTGGGTCCTTGAAATACCCTCTCCTGAGATAATCTATACCAAGAATTCACGGAGCTTCGAGCCCAGTCACAACGGGCTGTTTTTGCCACTCATTCCCAGTTAGGCTCACTTTGGCCTCCAACAGGATCTGCTGTTGGGACCCTCTGTCACTCCAGAAACACAAATGGGTTCTGCCTCTTTCTAACTTGATGGCAATAGGGTTCACTGGGCACCTGTGTCCACCAGAGCCTTATACTCTTGGGGGTTTGACTTGCCAGACCATCTGTTGTGGTTTGAGCCCAGTTGGCATCCAACCATAACGCAGCGGCTCTCTCTCCCTTCTCCTCCAGCAATGAGAAGGGACAGAGAGCCAGGCTTGGGGTTTGAGATAGGACTGGGATGGGGAAAAAAATCACCCTTTATGGGCACGAGCAAAAGGCAGACTCATTAGGGGAAGAAAAAAAAGAACACACATTTATTACAGACACTAACAACACATACCAGACTAGGACAGTGAGAAGCATTGCCACATCTTGAGAACACCTTCCCCCACCCCTCCCTTCTTCCCGGGCTCAGCTCTGCTCCCGGTATCTCTACCTCCTCCCCCAGCGGCGCAGGGGCAGGGAATGGGGGTGCAGTCAGTGCTGCCACTTTCTTTATCTTCAGTGAGGGGAGTTTCCAGAACTTGTTCCCCCAGCTCCAGTGTGGTCCCCCTCTCACAGGAGACAGTCCTCCACCAACTTTCTCCAACATGAGTTCCTCCCATGGGCCGCAGCGCTCCCCACACTGCTCCGTCATGGGTCACTAACTTCCTCCGACTGGATTCCCTCCCACGGCTGCAGCCCTTCCCGAGCTGCTCCGGCGTGGGACTCCCCCGCGTGCTGCAATCCTCCCAGCACTGAATTACAGCAGCGGGGCTGCCTTTTGCCACGAGACCCCCGTGCTTCTTCGGGCACAGAACCTTGATCAGCCGAGCAGGAACAACAGGCCATAAATCAATGTCTGCTCCACTGCAGATCTTCATGGGTGGCAGGGGGGGCCGCCCTGCCGTCTCCCCACAGGATACAGGGGGGTCTCTGCTCCGGCACACCTCCCCCCTCCTTTCTTCCTCCGTTCCTCCCCTGACCTTGGTGTTCACGCGGCTGCAGGAACTCCTCCTCACAAGTCCCACTGCTCGTCACCACGTCCCTTCTTAAATACGTTATCGCAGAGGCACAGCTCAGTTTCCAAACAGAAGTGGAGCTGACTTGGAGCTGGGGGAGCTTTGAGAAGCTTCTCGTAGTGGGCGATTCTGCATTGTTCCAGAGCTCACTCTATATCCCAGCAGTGACCAGTGAAGCAGGGTGAGAAGTGGTATTTGTGGCACAACTGGGGCTAAGACGGGATGTGAGTCCTGGCAGTGGTTTTCTGCCAGCAGCAGTGGCAGCGTGTGGGGCTGCCCATGCCATGGCCTCTGAGCTGGGCTGGGCTCTCTGTCCGCAGAACAGCAAACCAGTGATGGTGCTGGGGCTGTTGCAAAGCAAATCCCTGCCTGGAACTTGCTGCAGTTGCTTCACAGCTCCCTGCATGGCATTGCCGCTGGGGCTCTGGACATGGAGCTTCATGCCCCAGCCCGGCTCATAGCTGGTGGCATCCCCACAGAAGTGGCAGGATCAGTGTTGTGGGGGATTGAGCTCTGGCCAGTCTGCACTGGGCACCCAAATGGAATCTGAAAGTTACAGCCACATGGCCGGCTCTTCCCCTTCTGCGGTTTCCCTGCCTTCTCAAGCTCAGCAAAACTTGGGGATCATGACATAATTTCCCTGGTATGATGCACTCATTATCTTTCCTTGAAACACTGTGCCCACCCAGCAGCCAGGAATAAAAGGAGAGCATCAACACTGGGGCTGAGCATCGTGCAGTGAGCTTCGCAGACCCCAGCTCCAGCCCTGCTTGCGGATCCCTCGGCCCCCACAGCACCATGAAGGTCCCCACAGCTGCCCTCATCACTCTCTTCCTCGTGGCCTCCTGCTCCCTGTCCGAGGCACATCTTGGTGAGTCTGACATTGCCGCATCCTCCCCGGGGCTGGGGGTGCCATCGCTCCACGGGAGCTGCCGGGGCAGGCGGGGTGACCCATCCCTGTCAGCGGGGACCCTGGTGGCTGTGGGCAGGGCTGGCAGCAGGAGACCAGCACCAGTGCTGTGACTCGGGCTGGGGGCCAGGGGTCTCCAGGGGGGCCACGGCCAGGGAATATGACATGAGACAGGGGATGGTAAATGTCAAATCTCTGGGGAATGCCAAGAGCTGTTGGGGCCAGAGCCTGTGTTGTAACCAGGGGTCTCATGAAGGTTGTCTATCTGTCTCTCTGCCATCAGACGGCGTCCCCACATCCTGCTGCTTCAGCTACCAGCAACGCCCTGTCCCGCGGGCTCTCATCGCATCCATCTACACCACCAGCAGCAGCTGCCTGCACCCAGCCAGGGGTGATGTAAGTACCCACTGCTGCTGGGGGCTCGGGCTGCAACGGCAAGGGCTATGTCCCAAGGGTGGCTGGGAGGGGGACGGGGACACCGATACCCAAGGGTGCTGCAGGCAGGACCCAGCATAGGCACCCTGCTGCCCTGGCCAAGTGCATGAACATGGGTTTTCTCCTGGCAGCCTGGTCACCAAAAGAAGAAGGAGCTGTGCGCAGACCCCCAGGCGCCCTGGGTGAAGGCACATCTCAAGCACTTCCAGCCTCGGAATAACTGACCGTTCCCCGTGGCCAACCATGACCACCAAATTCTGCAACTGGTGCTCACCAAAATCATCGCTCAGAGAATTTCCATCTTGCTGCTGATAGCATTCCTCATCCTCTTCTCTTTCCTCAACAACACTAAGGGGTCAAAAGGGGCAGAAGAAAATGCAATTCCAACTTCACGCCCCCGCATCCCAGCACAAGCATCCTGCTGGGATTTAAGGTATTGGGGTTGGGGGAAGATGGAGTGGACCCTGGGGTTATGCAAGGACACCTTTTCTGCGGCACCAAAGGTAAAACTTGTGCCAGGTTTAACCCAGCTCAGAGGCCGGATCCTGCCCTCTTACCTGCCTGCCAGGGCAGGGAAAGATCCTATTGCCCGCTCTCTGCTCCTGGCTGAAGCTAAGGATGCTCAGATGCTCTGACCCCATCGGCACAGCCGGGATGGGGGCTGTTAAATGAGCAAATGCTGGGTATACATTCCCAATTCAGGCATTAAACCAGCAAACGCCAGGTGTATGTTCCCAGTTCGGCAGCAAGTTATTGCACATCTCCACCTGCTGGTCTGAAAGATGCTCTGAGCTGAAACAGGGATGGGGAGGTGGTCTGCACCCTTCCACTGCCAGGGCTGGGGTGCGCTGGCTGGAGCCCCCCAACAGGGATGGAGCCACTGCATCATCCCTCACCCCCAGCCCCACGCCTGGTACTTGCCCATGGTGGGAGCAAGTAGTGGGGAGATACAGGGAGAGTGGTTTGGCCCCATCCCCACTGGCAGCAGGGTGGAGGTGCTGGGGCTGTAGGATCCAGCCTTACAGGCCAGGACAGATGCTGAATAACCCCATCACTCCTGGACCACCACCTCTGGGCAACTGCTGCCTCTGGGAGAGGGGAAACTGAGGCACACTGCAGGGACGAGGCTCAGCAGGCAGCAGAGAGAAGCCACAGAAATCTAGGCTCAACCCCACAGACAGCACAAGTCATTTTGTAAACTGGTGTGTAAATGCCCTCCATGCCACATCCCAACGGGTCCCTCACAGCTTCGCAGCACAACCACGCTGAGCACACACCACCAGCACCTGCCACAGCCCTGGGAGCCCTCTCACAAGCCCTGGGGCCACCTGGGGGCCATCCCATTCCAGAGGTGCCAAAAAACCCCTTTCTGGAAGTAGCTGATCTGGGGCCAGCAGCTAAGCAGCTCCCAGGGCTCCCGGTGCCTGGCAGGGGAGTGCAGTGGGGGAGAGACTGGTGCTGAGGGTTGCTCTTAAATATAAAACAAAGAAAAAGGGAATAAAAAACCCTGGGCAGGAGAGAAGTGTGCTGCTTTGCTGCTGGCTGATCCCCACCACCTGCCTGAGTGATTTGTAAGAAGAGGCTGAGAGCTCCTAGTCCTCCCAGCCTTCTTTCTGGCTCCCTCCAAGACCTTTATTTGTCCAGGAAAGGCCAAAGCAGTGGCGAGGGCAGCTGCGCATCCTGGAAAGAGCCTAAAAACTCCTGGCAGAGGCTTCTCTCTCTGCCAGCACAGGCACCCCCCCACAGCAGCGCAGCGAGCCCCGGCCCCGCATCCGGCACAGACCACCCCTGCCTGCTTCGTGCTGGCGTCACCGCCACCGGGACCCCCCCCCCATCATATCCCCCAGCCCAGGGGCCAGATCCTGCCCTGGTGTAAACCTGAGGCCTGACCCACAGGGCTGTTGGAGTCCCAGCAGCAACCTGGGGGGGGGAGGGGGGGGGCACAGAAATGCCTGGGAGGGGATGGGGAGCAGGGGGCTGCATCCAGCCCCTGCACCGGCGGCGATTCCCGAGGGGTTCACTTGCACAGCAATATCGCCCGCCAGCAAAGCCGCCCGCCGCCTTCGGCAGCGCACCCACCACGGGGAAGCGCCGACCCAGATGGCTGAATCTCATCCAGGCAAACCGAGAAGCGGAAGGAGATCGGGCTTCCCTGCCGGCTGCCAGACCCCTGCCCGCAAACCCCCCGACCCGCTGCTGCCAAAGGGGAGAGCTCTGCCCGGGCACCCCTGGGGAACACCCAGTCTCGGGGTACGGAGGGCAGCATCTGCCACCCCACAGGATGCTATGTAAAGTTGCGGTGCTCATCAGCCTGGAGCATCTCTGCTCCTCTGCTGGGGTCAGAGTTTTCTAAAGGTGGAAACCCCCTGCCAGCTTCCCTCAATGCTTCCAACATCCCCCTCCTCCTTATTTCACACCAGGGATGAGCAGCTCTCCAAGCTTCTCAAAGAGCCTCAGGGGGTTGTAGATGCCCAAGAAAGCCCTGCCTGAGCCCCAGAAGTGCCTCGGACACTGGCTGCTGGTGCAAAATGGAGCCAGGCATGATTCAGAGACCCCCCCACCAGCTCCTGCGGGATCAACTGAGGTGGGCAGCGCAGCCCCGGGACATGCTGAGCCTGCAGCCAGAGCCAGGCTGGCAGGAGGGGTCCAAGTGGCTCCCCCTAAACTGCAAGCAACCCCCTGCTTTCCGCTTGGTCAAGCCAGCTGCTGGGGAAAGCCACTTTAGCTGGAGCATCTGCAGGGTTTGCTTTTACATGGAAACCATCCAAAAAAGCCATCCACAGAAACCAGCCCTGTGTCCGTCAGGGTGTGGGGACCCCTCTTCGGCCTTTCTCACCAAAAAAAGCCCCCAGCAGCAGGTGCTGGCATCCCCAGGGCTGTCACAGGGGCAGGCTGGGATGTCACCACAAGCTCGCCCATGGCACGGCAGTGATTTGGATGCAACTCAGGGTAAGTGAGCGCAGGCAGTGGGGCCCCCCCTACCCAGGCCGCAGGCAGGGACAGCACCGCCAGCCCCAGAACCCATGGGGGGGGGAATCAGAAAGAAAGAGGGATGGCAGGGGCTGCACCCCCAACCCCACACCCCAAAACGATGCCACCTCAGCAGCACTTGCCTTGTAACTCAGCGCAGGCTGGAAAGTGCCTGGGTGCAGGTCTGGGGGATAAGCGAGTGGATAATAGCGGATAAAGCCCCTGATTCTCCTGCTAAAGCCGCTCTGCATTAAGGAGACAAGGGGGGAGGAAGAAGGGGGAGCAGAACCAAAGCCCCCTCGCCCCACGTTCCCCCCGCCACCCAGCTCCCTGCCCAGGGAAACAACCCACTGCAAACGCTAGCAAGCACAAGCTGTCATTTTATTAAGCCAGGAATAAACTCTAATCTTTACCCATTTCGCTGGGGGGGGTGAGGGGGGGTGTCACAGAGGACCGCGGAGGGTGCGGCTGGCGGGGGGGGGGGGTCCCAGCCAGGCACAGAGGGACTGGGGCTGCGCCTGGGCGGATAGATGGGGCTGGAGGGGGGAAATGGGTGTAAACCCCCCCTGTTTTGCAGAAATGCACATAATATATTATCTGTGTATCTATCTACCTCCCCGCTCCCGGTACCAGCAGCACTTACCGGGGAGCAGCAGGGAGCAGAGGCAGCAGAGCAGGGCAGCCGGCCCAGGGCGCATCTTCTCCAGAGAGGCCATTGCAAAGTGGGGGGCAGCCAGAAAGCCGAGGGGCCCCGAGCCACCCCCGTGGCAAAAAAAAAAAAAATAAAAAAAAAAATAAAAATTCCAAACCAAGCACCGAAAACCCCGCAGAAATCCCCTAAATCCAACCACGTGCGAGCCGGGAGCAGCAGCCAACGGCGGAATTTGCAGGAGCGGGGGGGGGGGGGGGGGACACGACGGGACGACGACGACAACACAAGGCTCAGGTTAGGGGGGGCTCGGTTTGCCCCCCCCAGCTCAGTGAGCAGAGTACCCCATCTCCGGCCCCCCACCCCTCCCCACCCCGCACCCCAAACCTGCCGCAAACACCCCCTTCACCCCCCGCCAGTGCCTGCAGGGCGACCGGGGGAGCGCCCAGCGGCGGGGGCGGGTCCCCCTCCTCTTCCTCTTCCTCCTCAGGAGCCGGGGGCGGAAAGAAGAGCACGTGTACCCCCCCTCCCGGAAAAATAAAAATAAATAATTAAAAAAAAAGATGTGCTGATGAAGGATGATGCTGCAGGACTACCAGGTCGCCAGCCACCCCATGCACAAGAATAAAAATCAGATTTCCAAGCGCAGTTCTTAAAAACAAGAAAGAAAAAAAGCTGAATTAAAGCGCTACCCCCAGGAAAAAAAAAAAAAAAAAAAAAAGAAAAACAACCGTAACAAAAACCACAACCCAAAACAGGCGGGTGAATAATTAATCCCAGACAGATGCAATTAATCAGCAGCAGGAGCAGCTCGGCGGCGGAGTCCCCGCATCCGAAGGCAAAGTTTGGGGGGAGCGGGGCCGGGGAGCGGCCGCCCCGCAGCAGGGGGGGGGCCGGGGCTCATCCGCTGCCCCCCTGCGGGGGCTGCAAGCGGGAGGCCCCGGCCATGAGCATGCAAAGGAGGGGGGTCTCCGCCTCCTCTGTCCCCCCTCCTCGGATTAAAGAGGTGGGGTGCACCCCCTCCTGCTCGCAAATATAATTAAAGAGGGGATGCAGGAGCCTTGGGGGAAAAGGCAAGTTTGGGGGGTTCTACCCCTTGCCCCCCTCCGGGTCCCCCCCCGCCGCTGGGCGCTCCCGTGGCCGCTCGCCCGGTCGGAGCCGCATCGGGCTCCGGTGGGTGCCAGCGGGGGGAGGCGCCTTCTTCCTCCTCCTCCTCCTCCTCCTCCTCCCCCCCCCCCCCTTCGGGCGAGGTGCTGGCAGCCGAGCGGTGCTCCGCTCCCCGCCGGTGCAGTGCGATAAGATGCGATGCAGCCCCACCCCCCGCTTCCCGATCCCCCCCCCCCCCCCAAGCAGATTCCCAGCCGACCTCCTCCCCACCCCAGCACCGCGGGGGGGACTGCACGGCTACCCCTGCGATGCAAGAGGATAATCAAAAATGGGGCTTGAGGACCCCCGGGGGGAGGTGGGGGGGGGGGGGGGTGACACGCAGCACCGGGGAGCACACACCTCCTCACCCCTGGGATGGAGAGAGCCTGCTGGGTTCGGTCGCTTCTCACCACTCTGGGGGGGTTTGGGTCCCTTCCCCATCCCCGCTGTGGCTGGAGTGTCCCCTGCCTCCCCAGCCCCCCTCTGCTAGTGCCACCCGGGGGGGAGATGGGCCTTGTCACCCGGCTCCCTGCAGCACTGCAGCCCCCACGCATGGCTGCAGGTGGCTGGGGACCCTCTGTGCCCCCCCCCCCCCCCCGCTGGAGATGGGGGGATCAAGCACCCCCTTGCCCCCATCACTCGTGGGCCGCCTGGTCCTCTCCACACCGCACATCCAGGGACCCTCTCCAGCAGGTCCTGGAGACCCTTGCAGCAGGGCTGGGGAGGGATTCCCCTTGTCCCGGCTGCCGCTGCCGGTACAGAGCCACAGGGGAGGTGGGTTTTGGGTATCATCGCTGCCCTTACACCCCGGGAATGCCACGCTCCCCTCATGCTGGTGTCTGGGGACCGAGTCCCCTGCAAGCATGCACCACATCTGGTTCAGCCACCTCAGCCCAAGGGTGGGTTTTCCTGCCTTCACCAGCCCCATGAGCACCCCCGATGCCTTCACCCTCCCTGCTCTGCTGCTGCATATTTCCCCATCTCCCTTCCCCAAGAAATATTGGCCAGCACGTTCATCCTGGCAGCCTCATTTACAGTAGAAGTGCATAAGACATCTCCATTAATGCCAAAATAATTCACAGCAATTAATGAGATTGACCTTCGAGCAGTGATAGAAGCTGAAGATGCCCCCAAGAAGCGGCAGCTCGGCAGTGCCAAGGAGGGAGGACAGTCCCTGGAGTGAGCCCCCATGCATTCCCGGCACCTTTGGGTGCTGCTGGGAGGTCTTTGCAAACGATGCTGGGGGATGACAGAGGGACCAAGGTGAAGAAGACAGGGGAGATGGGGTCTGCTCCAAAATCCACCACCCAGAGCACTGTGGGAAGGGCAGAGCATCATTTTTGGTGACTGAAAAAGGCCCAGCTGCTGCGGTGAGCAGCCTCACACCACTGCCCAGGCGACTACTGCTTGTTTTCATAAAAATCCCATGATTTATAAGCCAATCTCCAGATTGCTTTGGGGAGGGGAGGGCTGACTCATGGGCATGAATCCCCAGGGATGGCAAAGCAGCAGACAGAGCGAAGCAGTGGCCCAGCCATGATTCATCTCTCCCCAGCCTGCCTGGAGAGCAATGGGGCAGAGCCTCAGTTTCCCCACTCTGAAACGGGCCCCAGGGTCGGGGATTTAGGGACGGTGATGGGACCACACCGCATCCTGCCCCGACACAGGAGCCTGTTCCCACTGATAGATGTGGGCTTTTTAAACAGGGTGTTTGGGTGCCATCCCTCCCGCTTCCCGTGGCGCCTCTGGCAGGTTCTTGGCACCGCCACTGGGATATTTCTCAACTGTTACAGAAATAAGTATTTTTACCCCAGTTGGATTTTATTTATGGCTCTGGCTTTGGCAGGCGGAGGGGCTGGGGTGGGCAAGAGTGGGCGGCTGTGATCTCTCTCTCTTTCCTCAGTGAGGACTGAAGCCGGCGTGCCGGCAGGGTTGCTGCTTGTACTGGGGAGATGCCAGAGATAAATCCTGTTATTTTAGAAGGAGCC